GTAACCTAGTGTGTCACGGAACGGGGAGAAACCCAGCCGTGCCTGCCCCGCACAGCCGGGGAGCGCCGTTCACGGGCTCCGGGAGTCCCTGTGTCCGGAGGAGGCCGTGCCCTCCCCCGCTCTCCCTTGGCTTGGGCGGCGGAGCGGAGCGGACCACGTCCTTGGGAAGGACGGCGTGTCCACCCGCTGCTGAGGGAGCCACTTCCCCCGGGCACCTGCCGCCGGCGTTTCCAAAGCACCGGGCAAAAGCCGGGCCCCGCAGCGGGGACAGCAGATGCTCGCCTTCCGGAGGAGGTGGGAAAGAAAGGGAAGAAAAGTGGGGAGCGGGATTAGATGTCCCGTCGGAGCCTGCCCGCGCCGTGCTCGGCTCCCTGAACAGGGTGGTTGGGGTTCTGAACGGTGAAACCTTTACTGCTAAAGTGCCCTCTGATCTAATTCCCTGCTCTCTCTACCTCCAGCACGTCTACATCGCTTTGGAATGGCGCATACCTCTGCCCAGACCCAAACTCCTGCACGACTAGAAATCGCTCTTCCAATATCATTCATTGGAATTTGTCCAACTTTGCAGAAAACTGCACACTTGATAAAGTCCCTCTTTATAACTCTTCACACACCCCGTTTTTTGTCGTCCTCCCTGTTGCCAGTCAGTCTTGCCTGGGCTGACACCCAGGCGAGCTCCTGACAGTCACTTTTCAGACTCAGATGTTCGTCTTACATGCGTTAGCTCCAAATACTGCTTCGGTTTTTGCGCTGCAGCCTATTCTTGGAGAGCAAGGCAAAGCAAATGAATATTCCCGATGAAGGTAGCTTTCAACGGATTCTTTACAAAATCTATTCCCCCTTCCTCCCTCCCACCCCCTGGGTACACACGCACCATACCGAGGTTTGCATTTTTCATGGCAGGACAAGTGAGTCTATAAAAGGCATGTTTGTTTTTCCTGGCTGTTTCAAATATGTATTTCCTGGAGGACTTCGCATCTGATGGGGTCATCAGAAGCACATGTGCGATTTTCATCTTTCCAAGTGATTTCTCCTCTCCTACCGTCCTTTCCTTGCCAGCACTATATGCTGATTTGACATTTTACCTGTTCGTCCACCTTATTTACACTAAACCATCCTCTCCACCCCAGACTCTTGGTGAGGTTCCAATTTGTTTTGGTGTGTCTGACTGGGTCTTCTTGGTTTTGTTTGTTTGTGTTTTGGTTTTGTTTGTTGGTTTGTTTGTTTTGGGGGGGCAGGTGTTTAAAACTAATTTTTTTTTTCCCTACACCGCTTGGGCTGGAGGGGATCTGCCGGCCAGCTGCACACCAGGACTCCGGATAAAGGCGGACCTGATATTCAGACCTGGAGACGGAGCATTCTTACCCAAACCCGGAAAAAAAAAAAAAAAAAAAAAAAAAAAAAAGTCGTTAATAAATGATCCCCTCCTCCCGTTTATTTTAATAGTAAGGAGATGGACCTTCTTCCCGAGTAAGGAGGCGCCTGCTCGATGCATGGAAGGGAAGCTTTGAGCACCGCTCCCCGTAGCAAAATAGGAAGAAGGTTATCCCGCAGCCCAGCTCCGACGTTTATGTATTTTTTCCAAATCCCAGAGCTACTCTCCCTCAGACAAAACCCTCACCTTTTCCTTGTGTACTGAAGCACTGAAAGTTCCCTTCAGTATATTTTTCTTGGCTGCCTGAGCTCAGCGTTTTGATTCACTAAGCAGAAGAGCTCTGCAGTCAGGGCCAGTGCCCAGTGTTTTCATCGCCACCCCCGTACATTATTTGTCATGCTCAAGTGAGGGTTTGTTCAAGGCAAAAGCCTGCTTGCTCATACTGGGCTGCATTTGTTTCTCCTAAAGAAGGCAAGAGATTTTGTTTCCGGGTCTGGTAACAGGAGCCCCGGTGCCTTACACAAACATCGCTGGGCGGGCAGGGGCACTCCCAAGGCTTTTGGTTCCGGGGCTGCAGCAGCCCCCCTCAAACACATTGAGATGTTGGTTAGGCCCAAACTGCTGCACCAGATTTGGGGAGAAGAGGAAAAGGAGCTTTCTCCAGGGTAGCTCACAAAAATTTGCCAAGAGGGCGGCTTCTCCCGTGTAGATCATGTCGAGTGTCTCCAAAAATGGCTTCTGTTATCCAAAGGAAAATGCAGCCACCCAGCCTTGTAGATGAGAGTCCTGATTACCCCCAAGGGCTCGCAGATGGAAGGTGTTCAACCAGCAAGCTCTGACATACGCTCTCCTATTCATAGGAAAGGCTCTTCGTCCTATAAACTTGCTACCTGTCCCCAGAAAAGTGGCGGAATTTGTGCCGCATATCCAGCAGGCTGTCGGGATGCTCTCTCATCGCATCCATCTGTATTTCCCCGTCAGAGTGACGAACTGCGCCTTGCCAGGAAGGACAGAACTGTTTTCTGTCTCAAATGAGCTATTTCTCTCCCGGCTCTCTTCAGCACAGCACCATGTCCGTGAAAGCTCATACAATAAAATACAGCAGGAAAAAACCCCTCTGCCCTAGCGCACGTCAGTACGCTGCTGTCTAAAGGACTGACTCCATTTACACTTCCCGCAAATGCTGAATACATTGTTTAATTTGGTAAGATTATATTTCGAGGTCAAACACTGCATGCATATATATTACATTTACACATACGTACATATAGATGGGTGTGTATGTAAATATAGGTATGTGTGTGTGTGCCTATATGAGACAGACAGAGAGTGCTGCTCTTCCCAAATTGTCCAAGCTATAGACGATCTGCCGTGCAATTTGCCTGCCACATCCTGGCCTCAGTCCGAGGGTAGCCAGGGGAAGTTTCATGGATAAAACCTGCTGGAATCGAACTGTCTTTTTATTTATTCCCCAAAACGCATGCGGGTACCCCAGGAACAACCAACCCTGAGATATGTCCCATGTAACCTAATGCTAGTGAATCATAACTAATCTGTTTAAAACCAAGGATTAGTCACGTCAGTTTCGGCATATTCCTCTATCGGGAACTTTTTTTGTGCGTGGAAAATTGGAGGGATTTGGGCTAATTTTCCAAACATCAGTACTAAGACAAGTACGGTCTGATAAAATGAGTCTTAACATGTTCGGGGTTTCAGGTTGCATTACACACGTCCCATCACAGGGGCTTTGAGCTGTGTGCATCCTTAATGCCAGATTGACCTGCAGATTTTTTTCCTTACTGCATGATTTTTGTTTCTAGCCATCTTTAAGTGGCTTCAGCGACTCGCTGTCTCTTAATTCATCCATGTATAAGTGATCCTCACTGAAACGCACATGAGTTTTCACAGATCCCACTCTTTCAAAGGGCCTTTCTCACCGTGTCAGCTCTTCATTTACTTTCCCCGATCGAATTCTGCCTCCTCTGTGCAATATGACCTTTTATTAATCACGTAAACCTCATCCTGTTTTCATACTGCCTCTTTAAATATTCCTCATCTTGGCTTTACTCTTTCCCATTTTTTCTTTCTCCAGCGGGCAAAGCTTTAACGCTTTATTTCGCTTTCGAGGCCATGTTTTATTAACCCAGACAGTCTGTTTCCATCCCAAACTTATTTTTATCTACAAAATTACAATATAATAACTATCCCATTAATTAATTCTTTGCCATATCGCACCGCTGTGTGTGTGTTATTTTACAGGGAGCAGAGATTTTCTGTAGTTCTAGAAAGCAGTGGTTCCTCTACTTGCAAATTATTTATTTTCAAAGAATTAAAGTCCATAGCTAAAATTATTAGATGCCCCTCAGCAGAAATAACAGGATCCTCTGTTTAGACCCTGATGCACGTTAGGCCACACTGGGTGCCCCCACAGCTCAGGCATCAGCCTCATCATCTTTGCTGCTGAAAAAAATCACCCCTAAGCGCAGGAGCGGGGGAAACATAAACCCGCATAGACCACATTGTCTCCCATAAAATATTGCACCCCGCAGCACCCCAGCATAACGAGAAAACTGGATTTATAGCCGCGACTAAGGGAGAGCTTTTTTCGGAGACCGAACCTCCCCATTGCCAACATCCATACATTCCCTGCTACAGACTTTTAATGGGACCTCAGAGAAATGTGCTTTTAGCGGACACCCGCAAACGCACAGAGGCGCTAATCCAGACCCAGATTACATCAAATTAGGACACTGCCCCCACAATACTCCCACTGATTGAAATTTCAGCCAGCATCTGAAACCTGGACACGATCTTTGCTGATCTACACATTTTTCTATGCCGCTTGAAGTCAAATCGTTTTCTCGGTTTATTTTTCACAAGAAAATCATTCCAAAGAAGATTTAAAAAGACCAAAAATGAAGTTATAAAGCTGTTTGCAAGTTCTGAGAACATTTTAGGCACATAACACGTTCGGCTTCTAGCAAAGAACACGTTCGGCGAGGTGCGAGCTGCAAGAGTCCTGAGCTCTTTTGATGGGGCAAAATGGCAAGTAACCTGCCTGACTCTTTGGCCACCCGGTGCTTACAGGAAAGGAAATTAAAAAGAAATAAAGAAGAATGAGAGGAATAGAGAAATCCCTCTCCCAGCATCCCGCAGGCGCCGGAAAGACCTTTGCAGCCCAGTGTCCGTGCTGGCCCCTGAGCGGGGTCTGGCCACCCTCGGTTTGCCCATCCGCCCTGGGGACGAGGTGGGGGAGAGGGGGCGGCTTTTTGTCGGCCGGGGCAGGCGGGCAGCGGGGCAGAAGAGCCCGCAGCCTGCGGGGCCGTGCCCTTGGGGAGCAGGTGGGCGAGATCTCCGCCTCCCTCAGGGCCCGCACCGCCCGTCCTGCCCCTGCCCTCGGCTCTCCGCTCCCGCAGGGCACTTCGGCTGCCCGTGGCGTTCAGCACTTCCCGGACCGGGCCGGCAAGGGGCCCGACGTGCCCGGGCCGAGCCGGGCAGGGTGGCGGGGCTCTGGCCAGCCATCACCGCCTGCCCCGGCATCCCAGCCAGGGCGCCCGCTCTGCTCCACTCGGGACTGAGCCCGAAAACACCCCGCGGGCGAGTGAAGCAGCCATACGCCGGGCTAGATTTCTAAATTTTATTATAAAATAAAAGCAGAAATATTTTCCAAAGAATGTATTCACATAATATAAACAATAAACAAAACTAAGGTGAGTGACTTGCGGTTGATACTGTCATTTAGGTCTAAACTTGAGCAGCAATTCCTGTTTTCCTTTTAAAACCCGCTCCAGCCCGCGTTGCACACCGAGGGTAAAATCTACCTCTGCCTTCCTTCGGGCCAGAGCTGGGCCATCATTTCCTTTCCCACCCAGCAAATGGCGAAAGCACCACATGGACAAGGCCAAAGAAGCTGTCTCTCTGCATAGCATCAGCTACAAGAAGGTTACAGAGTCTGCCTAGAGCGCGTGTTGCTGCTATATCTTGACTACGACTTTTGTATTCTTAGTTGAAATTGTACATCGTACACCTGCCACGGATACATAGCTACAATAGAATAACGGGAGCGATGTGTAACTTTCAAACAGGCATGGCAAGAGCAGCCTTGCGTTCCCCTTTCTTCCCCACCCCCCCAAAAAAATAAAAATATTACGATGTGCCCTTCCCACACAGACCGGCCCGATCGAGTGACAACACTGAGAGATTTGTGAAGTTAAGGCTGGAATGAGCTGCTACACCGATCAGCCTTACAGCCTGCCGTGAAAATCACGGCTCCTGTCCCACAGTCCTTACACGCCTGAAAACGCCTGTAAGCAACCCTTAAGGCTTTTCACAATATCAGCTACCCACAGCGGAGTCCACTACCTTGCAAACCTGCAGCCAGCCTGCTGCCAAAGGGCACAACACTTCCACTAAGGTGTTTGTCATTGCTTTCAAAGTCCCTTGTAAGATTAAAGGAAAAAAAATAATAGGAAAAATTGAGGAAAGGAGGGCTGGCGCGAAGGAGTGAGCGTGTACACGGTTTTAAGAGCCCAGATCGACCAAATTAGATGACATGGGGTTGAGAATGGAGTCCTGCAAGCTGTGGTGGTGCATGGGATCGGCGCTGGGCACGGGGATGGCGCTGGGGCCCTGGGGGTGGCCCAGGCCGTGCAGGGGCTGCAGCCCGGGGTTGGAGCTGAGCAGCAGCGCGGGGCTGGAGGAGGTGTGATCCGGGGTCCCTGACGGCGTCTTCTCGTCCTCTGAGCTCCCCAAAACTGTCTTATTCCCGTTCATTGACGCCGAGAGCGGGTTGTGGCTGTTGGAGTTGGAATTCTCGTTGTTTTCCCTATAGGAAACACAAAAGAGGGAGGGAAATCACCATGCGGCCGTGGCTCCGAGTGCGCACCGCGGGAGCGGGGGCGGTGGGGGGCTGGCTCCGGGGAGCAGCGAGCGGAGGGGAGCAGCGCAAAAACTCTGCGTTTAAAAACTCTGCCAACCTCCGAGGCCTCTTCATCTGGCACTTAGGTCTAAGGTCCGCTGAGCTTGTAAACAGTCTCCCACCGGCCCAGCGGAAAGTGTCACTTTGCCAAACCGTAATTTTCTGCGTCCAAAGAGTTTGCACAGCGTGAGGAGGGGGGCGGAAGGGAAGGGAGGAAGACTTTATTTAAAAAACAAACAAATAAAAAAAAACCCAAAACCTTTTAACTTTAAAACTGCCCTAGGAGCTGAAGAGATGTTCAGCCATGATTTCTCCTGAGGAGGTCTAAGCCCCGCGAGCTACAGGCAGGATGGCTCCGTGCAGCCCCGGGCTCACATCAGGAGGGAAAGTCTTTTCCTTAAGTAACTGGACATGGTTTCTTTTCCCCCTCGCCCTGAGCTTCAAGCTCAAAACATAGCCCAATATGGACGATAAGGAAAGCGAGCAGAGTTAACCCGCTGCTTTCCTCTCGGGAAATGCTCGGCACGGCCGCCGCTGCTCCCCCGTCCCGTCCCGGGGCGGCGTGGGCGCAGCCGGGACGGCCTCGCACGGCTCCGCGACGGGACAGCCGGCACCACCGGAGCGCTGCGACAAAGGCTCCGAAAGGCAGGACCTGGTTTCGAAATTCATCACCGGGTGAATACCAAGAAATCGCTGGAGGCGGGCCAAGCCCTTGCAGATATATCTATATATTTATATATCTATATATGGGGGTTTTTTTCGGTAACGTGATTGGCAAGAAGGGGTCGGGGCTGCCGTCTAGGCAAGGCTTCCTCGGCCTGCATAGCCCGCGTAGAAATACTTTAGACACCGTTCTGCTGAACTACTGACGGCAGTGCAAGCCTATTTAAAAGTTTCTGCGGAAGTTTTGTAACATGCTCTCTGGCAGAGGGGCCCTATCCTGCGGGATTTGGTCGGGAGAAGTTAAGCTATAGCACGGAAGGGTTTTCCTCACTAAGGGCTGCATGATGTGGCTGGAGACACTTACTGCCAAAAAAATAAAAATAGACAAGAAAGCTCTGTTTGAACAGGTTTTCTTGAGTGGATGGCAATCCCATGAACGGTCTGTTTTCCAACGCCTGGAGTGTAATATTAGGTTGAGTGTATTTTTCAATGTCAAAAATATTATTTGTCTCTGGAGACTTTTAACATTTGATTCCTCGGGGGAAAAAAAAGGTATGGAATAAGTGTAACCTTCATTTCCTTTGGATATTTGAAGGTGAGTCCCTGCTATCAGCAATAAAAAGGATCTCTAACATCTCGTAAAACCAACACTTGTGAGGATTTGAAGCAAAATTAAAGCGCTAGCACAGTTTCGGGAAATAAATAGAGCAAATCTGTGCCCGAATCTGCCGGGCTGCACAGCAGGGCGGCCACGGCGCTGCCTGTTTCCAAAACACGGTTGGCAGAAACCAAAGATAGAAAGAATTCTCCTCGGAGGCACGGATCTACAGGATTCTGAGCCGCTAATTAACCCGCAGATCATGCGATCCTACGATTGCCTGAACGGACCGGGCAGTTCAGTGAGCTAGTGAACGCAGTAAGAGGGCCCTTTTGGCCTCTTCGAACCGTCTTCCTAAGGCACAGGGACTGCTGACAGAAAAATCTGCCCGAATAGCCAGGGATGTAGGCATTAACCTCCTCCCGGCGATTAATGGTCCCTTCACTCCACATAACGTGAGAAACACAAAAACACAGCTGCAGAATCGTATTCGGCCTACGAACACACACCTATTGACGTGCGTTCATGAGCACCTTGCTGGGCAGCGAATAAGAGCTGCAAGGTCATGAGCGAGGCAGGAAGTGGCTCCACTCAGACCTTGTCCAGGTCTCCAGGAGCCCAGGACAGAGGATGTATTTGCTCAGACCAACGCTCAGACCCACGCGTTGCCGGCTACCCCTTCCTGCCCCGGGCTACCCTCACGG